TCAACCAGGTATTTACGGTTTGGCAGAAATAAGCGAGAAAAGATATGACCTTGAGAATTTTAAAAATATGTATCTCGCAAACTATTGGGCCGATCTTGTTGTGACTTCCATATGATCTTGACCTTTACGTGACCTTATTTTGACGTGAGTATCGTCAGCCAGGTATTTACGGTTTGGCAGAAATAAGCGTGAAAAGATATGACCTTGAGAATTTTAGAGACCCGTATCTGGGAAACTAGTGGGCCGATTTTGTAGTAACATCCATATGACCTTGACGTTTACGTGACCTCATTTTGACATGAGTATCGTCAACCAAGTATTTACGGTTGGTAAAAATAAGCGAGAAAATATATGACCTTGAGGAATTTAAATACTTATATCTGGCTAACTAGTGTGCCGATCTTGTGATTTCCATATGACCCTGACCTATACGTAGCCTCATTTAGACATGAGTATGGTCAACAAGGTATTTACCATTTGGCAGAATTAAGCATGAAAATATATGACCTTGAGTATTTTAAAGACCTCTATCTGGCACATAACCTAACCTAATCCAACGTAACCTAACCAAACTTAACCTAACCTAACGAAATCTATCCCAACACAAACTATGCACTGAGTATATAATGTGACTTATACGTGACCTTGACATATCCATGACCTCTAAATGATGTGTGTAATGCCACTCAGATTCATACACTTCTCTATGTATATGCGTGAGAAAATGGTACTTCGAATGACCTTGAAAAGTTTCATACTGAAACAGTGCGTTCCATCAATGCGGCACGAACCGCTCGTGCGCGCAGTGTCTACAGTCCCACCGCTAATCAAGACATTTTTCGCCTTTTATGGAACTCCAAAATTCATTACCGCGTTTCATGACAACCCAACAATGGGCCCTACCTTGAGCGACATTAATCAAATCCACACCATCACATCGTATTTATTATGTATTCAAATATTATTCTCCCTTCTGCCCCTACGTCTTCCAAATATTTTCTTCCCTCCTAATTTTCCGGACTGAAGACATTCAAACAATTCAAGTAATTTATTCCATGCATGCTAAATACACCACCCATTTCTTTCTGATTTCAGTTTAAAAAAAATGCTAATTTTTTTAGACGAACTTAACGATATAAACGTTTTCATTTCATCCTAATTTTCAACAAAAATTAAAATAATCATATGGCGTAGTGATGCTTGAGGTCACGCAAATTAACATAAATATCACCGGTGAGGTGTCACGTTCTCAAGGCGACGAGAATGTTGATGGCTGTCTTCTGAAGAGTTGCGCCATGTAATTTGTTACTACCATCAGCGGTAAATACCTCTGAAACGTCGGCCAACATCCCAGGAAGAAGCCTTATACAGGAATAGCCTATACCCAGATTAATCTAAATTATTCTGTACTTCCTTGTCAGATTACGCACTGTGAAATTCTTCAAGGACAGCAGCAAACGATTTTCATATAAAGTATTACAATATTCGAGGATAAACACACGTTAGGTTCGTAAAAACACTTGTTTCGTATGTACACAGCTTTTTCGCAATGGTGTGAGCAGCGGCCTAGCAACAAAGATGACCTTGACTGCGAAGGAGTAGGTCACGAGAGTCTACGACAACACGGGGTTGGACCTGTTTCCAATTTAATTTCTGATTGTAGTTGGATCATGTTTTAATTGGCACATCTTTTACCAAAGTGTAGGGTCTCCTGTGCTAAAGATGATACACAAATGAGTTACAAAAAAATCAAGACATTTCTTGGCCAAACGAGAGAGACGTTGTCATCCAGAATTATCCGCACTGCATGAATTGCATGTTACATCAGTCAACATGTATTTCTGCCTTGTGTACAAAGATTACCTAGCAAGTTCACGTATTATCACTTCAATAGACCAAAGTTTACGAAATAATTCAATTACGACCTGCTGAAAAAACAGGCGCATGTTCAAAACGCAAAATATATCGTGGCTCAAACATGGAGGAAATAATTTGCGATAACATCTGTCCTGAGGCTGTTTAGCGGCTGTGCCGGTGGTTCGCACGACCTTTCCGCTTCCTAGTCCTAGCGGCACAGTCGCTACATAACCCAGCTGTATTTGCCTACAGGCCCCGAACGGGATTCGAACTCCATGACCTCTCTGTTTCAACAGCCACCAAGTTTAGCATGAAGGTATATAGTTACAAAAAAGCTTTCCAGACACTTATTCACACCGGGGTTTTGGCTACCTCTACTGATTCATGACTAGAAGTTTCAGTAACTGATTATGTTAACTCTCACCACTCTTCCTGTAATTCTTTTAATTTCCTCTCAGCTATAAACTTACACCTTCGTTCGAGATTACCTAGTGAAACACGTTATTCTGGACCAGTTGACATCCGTCGGTTGTACTGATAAAATTAAAACATCCCTGAGCCAAATTCTACAGGAGGGTCATAACAGTTGGTTACAAAATGGCTTCCTGACTGATTTCCACAGTCCTTAATTCGTAAAC